GGTCCTCTACAAGTTTTTGCTGAGAGCACTTAGTAAGGCAGTAAGTAAATGAGGCAGAGGATTTTTACGTGGAAAAATCCGCACAAGGGGATCAAAAAACCATGAACTACCCTATAGGCTTTTAACTTCACTAACTTGTAATGTTACCTATTACAAGCCACTTTACAATGCTTCCGATTGTAAATACTTCAAACTAACTTATGGCACCTTTACCACAAGCCACTTTATGACTATCCTAGTTACAAAGGCTTTTTCTAACTTGTGGTGTTATCACCACAAGCCACTTTGCAATACTAAGATTACAAAGACTTTTCTTTATGACTAAATCTAGCCACAACCTAAACTCAACGAGTATGAGGATTTACAAGAGAGTTCCTAATCAGTAAACTTTTAAGTAAGCAATTTAGGAGATATTGTAAGTGCAATAACAAGGTTACAACTCAACTAGGACAACAATAATCAATCGTTTTTGGAACTGGTCCGTAGTGGCATTCAACCTTGTTCTTCAAGATTGAGAGAATGATCTTTTCTGTTTTTGCTAAAGGCTTGAATGATGAAACTGAAACCATTCAGTGATGTTTTGTATAAAAAACCCTTTGGTACATCTTGGTCATATCATTTGAAATGATGTGAGTACTTTGTTTGGTTAGAGAATGAGTGAGCTGACAGTGTGGTGCAGTGCGGTAGAAACAGTGCCGCCAGTCACTTCAGCTCCAGCTGTGTCCAAATGACTTCATGCTGCAATTCATCTTTTACTGGAGTCCGTTGGAGTTTGCAGCAATCCAAAGTAGATCAGGTTCCCTAACTGGTTCTTGTCAGAAAGTTTGTTAGATCATCAAAACATAAGGTAAGAATACTTAAGATCTATCAAATTACCACTTGTAAATCTGGCTATTTTTGAATTTCGGCCCCTATTTTGTCATTCTCGTTTAACTTGTACCAATTTTTTTACAAAAGTTTAATTGCTACTCAAAGTACAGATAACTTCAGACATGCTGCTTTTTCTCTACTTTCCTTTTTCTTTCTCCTCCTCTTCTGTTATGAATCAAAATAGCTGTGATACCACATTTGGGCTTTTGGCAAATTACATATGGGACCCTGGCTGAAAATAGAGCATGTGCGCTGCGCGTGACAGAGACCAAGGAAATCAGGAGATAAATAATACGTTCATTGCATTCTAGAGTTAGGCTGAATTTTGTAGAATTCCCCTCTCCGGTCTCTATCTCCCTCAACTATTTCTCTCTGTGGCTCTGTCTTCTCATCCCCTTTCTTTCTGTTACTATCCTTAGTTATTGTTACTTTACAGTGTAATTCCTTTGTTATCAGTATCAATATATCAATCTGTTATTTCTGTATTTGGTTGTGGATATTGGATCCATAACATTGGTGCTTTCATTGACTCCATCTCCTATGGTGGACCTATCTCAAGCCCCAGTAATGGGTCGTTTTAGCGGTGAGAATCATCTGAATTGGGTTCTTCAGGCAGAGAAGTATTTCACCTTCTATAAGATTTCGTCGGAGCATAAACTGTCCTGGGCTTCATTTTATTTGGATGGCGAGGCTTTGAAATGGTATCATTGGTTATTTCGAAACAAACAGCTTGCAGGTTGGGACCATTTCGTGGACAAATTGTTTATTCGTTTTCGAGGTCGAAATCGGGATTCACCTGATAGGCGTTTAGCCCTTCTCCGGCAGTTTACAGTGGATGCTTATCCGGCACGGGCTGCGACTATTCCGTCATGGAGCAACATGGCTAACTTGCCCTTGCCTCGGTATTGGAATGCGCCCTCAGAAAATACCAACCTGAACATTACCCACAAGGTGTTTGCGGAAAAGCCAAATAGGGAAACTAAAACTGTTATAGTTACTGAAAACGATGCTAACAACACCTAAGGAGACCTGCAATTCAGTTCTAGAGGAGGACAAAGAGGAATTTGAACCCCGTTTGCCACAATACTTGGTTGAACCATCTGAATACAACAGCAACAATGAGGTGCGCAAGGTGTTCGATGAGTTGTCCGATTGGTCTAAAGATGCTATTCAGGAGCCGAATGCTATGCAGGAGCCACAGAAGGAGCTTACTTTAATAATAGAGACCCATTTCCCTAATGATTTGATGTATCATGTCGCTCCGATTGATACGGCAAACAATTATGCTAATGTTGTTGAAAATGAAGACAAGGATAATAAAGAAAAAGTTGTTACTGCAATCATAGAGAAGGCGCCACTTTATATTGGTTCTGCATTCTCTATTTCTAGTAACCTCATCATGATTGTTGATCGATATGGACTTGGGCTAGCTCAAAACTTGGAGGCGATGTCTTGTATGCTTCCTGCTTGCACTTGCGACCAACTTCTAAACAGAGGTATATTTAGTCACTTAGGTGACCTTGGTCATGCTGATCTTGTCTTACCATTGCATCGATATCCACCTGATCAATTCGGCTTAGACTTTCCATTTGATCCTGGCTCTAGTTTGCTTACCACGTTCCTTAGAGTTACAAAAAATTATGTATTATGTGGTGCCTCGAGCAACTTTCAGCGTGATAAGTTCGTGACATTCACCGTGTGGAATTCTTGCACTGCACCTTTGAAAATTCGATTCAGAAATACATACAGTGTTCGCCAATATGTTATGTTGGGAGTTGCTTTTGACATGCTTTCTAGACTTGCTGAAGGGAATTGGAATGGAGGGACAATAAGTCTTACTGTCGAGAACAGTGGCTTGGGCATACAATTTTTGAAGTGGTTCGACACTGGGCATGCTTTTATGGTTGATTTTGGTTGTACAACTCTTCCTAATGTTCCTTTAAGCTCTAAATCAGACTCGCATACATCGTTTAACGAAATTGCTAAAAGGAGTAGAGGTTTGGTTGCAATGTCGTACTTTGAGACTGTGAGCGACATGGAACGTCCGTGTCCGTATCCGATTTTCCCATGCTCTTATCCACAGACTATGCAACAAATAGCAACATTTGTCACTGTGATAGAATTTAATATTGAGGGTGATGCTGAGATGAAGGCTTGGGCATTGGAGGTACATTCACTTTTGAAAACCTTAAGCAGGAAAGTGTCTGATTATATATTGCCACTAGCCAGAATAGCGATGTACAAAACTTGTTGGAGTTCTGGTTGCTATAATGTAGACTTGTTGGCTGCATTCAATGGTGCACTTAGAGATGGGATTGTTTTATTATATTGTGGTCCTGATGCTTCCCAAGCAGATTATTTCAATGATGCCATTTCTATAGGGTCATTTCAAGCTTTAAGACTTGGAATTCTTGTGGTTGCTTCAGATGGTAATCAAGGAAGTCAAAGTTTATATGCAAATCTAGCTCTATGGACGTTCATTGTTGTTGCCAGTTTTACTAACACAGATTTTACACATGCAGTAAAGGAAAGGCTTCGTTTATATGATCTGATTGTAATGTGGTTAGAAGGAATTCCCGACTCGAACCTTGAGGGCAAGGTTCTTATTGAGGACGGGGGTATTGTTATGAATCAAATAGCCGTGATACCACATTTGGGCTTTTGGCAAATTACATATGGGACCCTGGCTGAAAATAGAGCATGTGCGCTGCGCGTGACAGAGACCAAGGAAATCAGGAGATAAATATTACGTTCGTTGCATTCTAGAGTTAGGCTGAATTTTGTAGAAACTTCCCCTCTCTGGTCTCTATCTCCCTCAACTATTTCTCTTTGTGGCTTTGTCTTCTCATCCCCTTTCTTTCTGTTACTATCCTTAGTTATTGTTACTTTACAGTGTAATTCCTTTGTTATCATTATCAATATATCAATCTGTTATTTCTGTATTTGGTTGTGGATATTGGATCCATAACATCTTCCTTCTCCCCTCCTCCTTTTTTCTCGTTAGTTGCAAAATGAGTTTATTAGTCTTGTTGTTATTTTGACAAATTGATAATTGATGTTTGTTCTTTATAATATTTGAAAGTTATATTTCAAATATGAGCTTAATTAGAGTATATTTGGGTGTTGAATCGTGCGTTGTATTGTTGAGGTTCGAAGAAGAAGTTTCTATTCCTGAGCAATTTACACTTCAGACTAAAATTACACATAAGATGTTTTAGTCTGAAGAACAGTTGCACTTCAAATACACTTAAAACAGTATGATAATTTTTTACATGCACTTAAACGTTTTCGTTTGAAGTCATAATATGACTGTGATTTTGCAACTTCACATAAAATTTATAACTTCATACGCAAATTATACTGCTTCAATCGAATATGTTCGAAGTTGTGTCCGACGTGAATAAAATTATATTAAAAAATAATTAAACTTAGCTAGCGTTTGGCCATAGATTTCAAATTTATTTTGAAAAATCTGACTTGGGTGAAGTTGGGTTTGAAGATGAAAATGTGTTTGGACATACGCTTTCAAAACATATTTTCCAACTTTATTTTGGAAAAACATGTATATAATTCCCAAGTTTTGGGATTTTGGTCCAAAATCAGCTATGGGATTTGAAATTTGAAATTTGGGATTTGGCCAAAATATAAGCAAAATTTATGGCCAAACATGAGTTTTGAAAATAAATCCCAAATTTATTTTGGGAAAACTTATGGCCAAACGGACCTTAGAGTATAACTTAAATAGTGTCACAAAATTGGATATTTGTGCACTTTCCCCGGTCACTTGCCATTCCAAGGTAAACACAGTAATGCAGAATAGTGAAGTAGGCCCCTCTCATGGTGGAATTATCCGTCTCTGAAAAAGGAAAAGAAAAGAGAAAAACAACTGGAAACGTGGGACCAGACAGCAGACATTTTTAAAACAAAAGGGGTAATTACGTAAATGGGAGTGCAAGCTGTTTCAGATCTTCATTAAACTATTCTTATATATTGTCTTTCTGTCGAATTTATGACAAACAAATCATCGCCGAGTCTCCCCTCTGTCGAATTACTACAGTGGCAATCTTGTAATATACTAGCAAAAACCATGGCATTAAACGAAGCTAATAATACCAACTAAAAGATGTTGATTATCCACCTTTGCCATCTATTAGAAATTCCTAATTTCCTTATTGCCATGTCAAATCTTCTTAATTCCCCTCCAAAACAGCGAAGAAATTGAAAAAGTTCAGTGGTAATCTTGTAATAAACAAGAGAAACCAAGGGTATTAAGGAAAATTCGAGAATAGGAATTTAAAAATGGTGGAGATCTAATTTTGCCATCTAGAAATTCCCTAATTGCCCGAAATCAGCGAAGACCCGGCGGAGAAGAAGAAAAATAGTCAGAAATTAAAGAGTTTAACAGAGAGAGAAAGTGAAAGAGAGAGATCGACACAGTTGTCGAAGACTTTTTAGAGAGAGAAAGACAGTGCTCGTGTGTGTGTGTGTGTGTGAGAGAGAGAGAGAGTGTGTGTGTGGTGGCAGTAATGGCGGAGTCGCAGGAGGAACGGAAGCAGGAGAGCGAGGAGAGCGTGAAGTTGTTCGTAGGTCAAGTACCGAAGCACATGACAGAAGCACAACTCCTCGCAATGTTTGAAGAGTTTGCTATCGTTGACGAAGTCAACATCATCAAAGACAAGACGACGCGTGCTTCTCGAGGTTCTCTCCTCTACCTCTACTTCTCCGCCCAATTTTTGGATCGTAATTGTGCAATTGCAGCAACATTGCTTTTGTTTTTCACTCTTCCTTTTAAGATTCGTACTCTCTAGATTCGTGTTTAACATTTCTCAAAATCCTAACTCGCTGTTTTCAGGTTGTTGTTTCGTGATCTGTCCGTCGAGAGAAGAAGCGGATAAGGCTGTCAATGCATGTCACAATAAGAAGACGCTTCCAGGAGTCAGTTTTCTTCTATATTCTTCTATTTCCTCATTAATTAGTACATACATTGCGTTTTTACTTTATTAATTGAAGAAGATTTTTGCATTACTTGTAATTCATTAGTTTTGTTAATTAATTACCTTACTTAATTAGTTAAAGAAGATTCGTGTTGCTTGTAATGCCATGGAATCTTGGCATTGTTCATTAATTCACTGTAATTTATAATTAATGACCTTCCTTAGTTAATTAAGAAGATTTATGTTACTTGTAAATTGTAATGCTGCGGAATCTCTGCACTGTTCTGTAATTCTATGATCTTGATGATTAATAACCTCATCTTTTCTGAATATATTTTAATTTTATATACTCAGATTTTTAAGCCTGCTGGTTTTGTGCTTAAAAGGGCTGCCCGGTGCACTAAGCTCCCGCTATGCGCGGGGTCCAGGGAAGGGCCGGACCACAAGGGTCTATTGTATGCAGCCTTCCCCTGTATTTCTGCAAGAGGCTGTTTCCACGGCTTGAACCCGTGACCTCTTGGTTTTGTGCTTGTTTAAGTCTTTTATATAAATATAGGGAGACGTAAAATGTAATTATATCTGACCTGTAATCGAGAAATGATCCAAAATAAATAAATATATATATATATATATATATATATATATATATATATCTGTAATTGTTGATTTGATAGTATTGAGGTTGATAATGGCTATGAAATTCAATTGTTGACTCTATATTTCAGAGGAATGTTATGGCATCTTCTATGTGTTTTGACTTTCAACATGTAGAATGTAGGAGAGCAGATTGCTTTTTGAGGCTAAAGGCTTTCCCAGTTGTGAGTGGGCATTATCAAAGACTTGAATTCCGGGTTCAAGCTTCACTTCGTTTCATTTGATATTTCCAAATAGTGGAAACTAGAATGGACGATGAGTGATCAGTCTTAACTGACTAAAGAAACTTACTCAGTATGTTTGTACAAGCAGAAAGGCAAAATCCGTAGAGGGGAAATCTTCATTATAGACTAAGTCATAAGTAGGGTACTCGAGAATCAAGCTGGCGACTACTGAGAGTACAGTGGCAGCTATAAGAACTTTTAGCAAATCATATCAGGAGAGAACTAAGAAGCGTATGGAGAAAGTTGTACGCCAGCTGGGGTGTTGGCGGACAGTGCAGCACCCGTGCATTGTGCAAGTAAAAAAAAGACTAAGGCTGGATATATTGATCCGATATGGGTCTTATGCTTTCACTAGTTCTCTATTCCTTTCTGATTTTCTTCTAGGTGAATAAGAAGACTTTCAAAAAGAGAAACAAATAAATACTGGCAGTCCTGTCTAGAGTAATCTATTTCTTACTAAATGTCATAGTTGGTTGACTGAAATAGCAGTGAACTTATCCCAAAAGAAAAAAAAGAAGAATGAAGTAGCAGAGATCACGGGGATACCACAGAGTTACCCTTAAGAATCCAAGAGGAGTAGCAGATATATTAGAGGCGTTTAGCATCATAGATTGGTCAAGAAACCAGGTTTCTTCTAATATCCTTTGGATCCTTATGGTTTCCTACAGTAACCTGACTATTAAACTGTATGCATGGCTTAACTTCATTTATCTTCTAACTTAGCATTTGATCTCTTGCATATTGTAGTGAAGTGATTAATTTCCATGCTGATATTTGGACTGAGAGTAGTTACCAGTACACTCTAAGCTTATTAAGTTTATCTATGTCTGCAGTTCTTTTATATCAGCATCACATGTTTGCTTGTATTTCTTGTTAATGAGTCGTGTTGTTCTCTGTTTCCAATTCAGGCTTCTAGTCCGTTGCAAGTGAAGTATGCTGATGGCGAGTTGGAAAGACTAGGTATACTATAATTTAAATTCTCTTGTTATCATAGTTGTTCTGACTTCTTTTCATAGTTTCCTGTCCTTTTCTTTTCTTAAGATCTGCTCCTGCTATTGTCATTTTTTTTTGTTTTTGTGATACTAACTAGACTATTTTCTCTCATGTTTTCTTTTTCTTCTATTCTTTAATTCTTTTCCTTAACCTGAAATCCAGAGCACAAGCTTTTTGTTGGTATGCTTCCAAAGAATGTTTCTGATCCTGAAGTATCTGCCTTGTTCTCTCAATATGGAGTCATTAAAGATTTGCAGATTCTCAGAGGTTCTCAGCAAACTAGTAAAGGTATACCTGGTACTATCTCTCTTAAGTTTAATGGTTTTCTGAGGGAGAAAATAGTTCATCTCCAGAAAATATCTTCTTTCTTGAAGGATGTGCTTTTCTGAAGTACGAGAAAAAAGAGCAAGCAGTTGCAGCAATAGAGGCTCTCAATGGAAAGCATAAAATGGAGGTTTGCATCAATCTCCTAGTATTTGGACTGCTTAAATGAAGTTTTTGAAATTGATTTTTAAGTTTGCATAGTGGCCATATGTATAATGTTTGTGCATAAAATGAATAGGAGGTTATAAGTTGCAGTGATTTTAGTGTGGGTGTTCCTTAAGCAGTTGATCTGGTGATAGTCTTTTCTTTGGGGCTGTATAATTTGTTAAGCATTCAGGATGGAGTACCCTTTTTGTGCATTTGTCCTGTTGTCTTTGCAGTAGTTTTGGAAGTATTCCTTGCAGGAATAGCATCTGTCATCAAGAAAGCAGCATATGTTTGGCTTTAGATTGGGGTCATTTGTCAGTCAGCATGTGATCTGTTTATGTGAATGGCTTATTTATTGCCCTGTTGTTGCAGGCCAGCAGAATGGCCTATTTGCTGCCATTTGCTGTTCAGAGGAATTCAAAGACATTATCTGGTGATTTCTTTCTAGGCCATTTCGACATGGCAGTCATGTGTGGGGTTGTTATGCCTTGAGGCTCTTGACTGAATTAATGAGATGCTAACTGTTTATTCTAATAATTCATTTAGTTGAACGAGTTAGCTTTTTTTTTTTTTTTTTTTTTTTTTTTTTTTTTTTTGAAAAGGTAACATATTAGTTACTGCTAAAGAAAACTTAAATATTCATGTTATGATATTGAAACTTGATTCCTTCAGAGAGCTCATTCATTTAGGGAAACAATAATTCGCAGCAGTTTGTTGAGAGGGCTTGTTACTGCTATGCCATTTGATTTGCATATACACTCTTGTCTTTCCCCACTTGTGGGATTCCACTGGGTTGTTGTTGTACTCTTGTCCGTAATCTGTCCCTGGAAGATGAATAGTTGATTAGAAGTTTATTGGAGTTGAGAGATTACCTGGATCGGTCAGCATTTCTGTTACAATTTGCCAATAACTTTACTATGAGAATTTAGTTTGTCTGGAAAAGGGTGCCAAAGCTGTTTAAGTAGATTAACTATCTTTTCATTATGAGGATTTCTACATCTTAACTGAATCCTTTTATCAAGTTTTGATGTGATGTTAAGTTTAACTTATTCATGACTTCCAATTGCTGGAGATGTTGTTATCAAATTAGTCACACTCTTTTTTTCCAGGGTTCCACTGTCCCTTTGGTAGTCAAATGGGCAGATACAGAAAAGGAAAGGCAAGCCAGGAGGGCTCAGAAAGCTCTATCTCAGGCTTCTAATGCTTCCGACTCTAGACAACATCCCTCTTTGTTTGGAGCTTTACCAATGGGTTACATGCCACCATACAATGGCTACGGTTATCAGGTTGGTTGAGTTGTATTCACCAGTAAATTTGGTTATCAAGCTTAATGTCTTGTTATTTTGCTATGAATATGATGTGGATTGGCTTCGTCAGTTCCATCATTTATTACATTTCTTGATGTGAATTGTCATGATCCTTTACCTTAATTCGATTATCTATTACTTTTCTTTGTCATTCTGGTTTTGCTAATCAATTTAAAGGTCAATGCAAGTTAATATGCTCACTTTGCAGACTCCTGGGGCGTATGGGCTCATGCAGTATCGCCTACCATCAGTGCAGAATCAGCCAGCGTTTCAGAATATAGTTCCACCAATAAACCAAGCAAGTGCTCTACGTGGAGGTGCACCTGATCTTTCTCCTGGTATTAGCCCAAGAAATTATGCCATGTCACCTGGAAGTTATGTTGGATCCCCTTACCCAGCTGTTCCAAGGCTTCAGTATCCCATGCCATATGCTGGAGGCGTTATGAATACCAGACCAAGTGGTTCTCCCGGCTCGATGCCCCCTAGTACTGCAAACAGTCATTCTGCAGCATCTTCAAGTGTCAATTCAAGTACAGGGGGTCAAGTTGAAGGTTGTTGAACCTTTACTTTGCGATCCTTTTAGCTCTAGAAATTCTCTAGCTTATCAGGTACAGTCCCTAGCCTAGGGGCTGTTAGGGCATTCTGCTGAATGTGGCTGCTTGGCTATCTTTTGATTAATTATCTTGTGGAACTTGTTCCACATCATTGATAATTAGCAGAGGGCTGGTTGGTGATTTAGTACATATATTGCAAGGAAAGAACCTAATAGTAAATAGTAGTAGAAGAAATCAGTCATGTATATATGACACCAAGTTTTCTTTTTGGGCCTTTCTGTGACTGGTATTGATGATAGTAGAATCTATATCTATTATCTTTGATTTTACTTAATTTATATAGGATCCCATGAATGCATTTGATCTCTGTCCAATGACATCTAATACAGTTTTCTTTCCTTTTTCTGCTCCCTCTCTTCCATTTTAAAGTAACAATCTTTCCGTTTTAGTTAGTTCCAAAAAGAATTGATACATTTCTATGTTTGGAAGCATTTAACTTTAAACTTCCCACTTACCTATAATCACATGCTTTTATAACCACATAAATGTCATCGCATGTTTAATACCACACGTTTCAACGATCTATGTTTCTTTCATAAACTCCGTGCTAGCCAAACACCGCACATAAAATGAATCGGAGGGAGTATTTCCCTCGCCTGATAGTCTTCCAGCATGTTGATATAAGATTTCATTGACAAACTTCAAACATAACCAACCTTATGAGAGGAGCAGCATATGGAGATTCTGGACTATATAGAGAGGAACTCGAATTAAACATTGCACAAGTTTTTAAATTTGTCGTTGTACCACTTTATGTGATTGAGTGGTAGAGATGTCACTTGAATTGCGTATACATTACTTGCCAGTGATAGTTGAATATGTGGAAATGAAACTGCATTTATTAAAATGTAATTTTTTTTGCTTTCAGGTCCACCTGGTGCTAATCTATTTATTTATCATATTCCTCAAGAATTTGGTGATCAAGATCTTGCAAATTCGTTTCAGCCGTTTGGTAGGGTCTTGAGTGCCAAGGTTTTTGTTGACAAAGCTACTGGTGTTAGCAAATGTTTTGGTAGGGACCTTGAGATGCTAGGTTACTTTCAATCAAAATTAGTGTTCTCGCTATTTAGCTTACGACTGAACTTCATTCTGCAGGATTTGTAAGTTATGACTCTCCAGCAGCCGCACAAACTGCAATCAATATGATGAATGGTTGCCAATTAGGTAGTAAGAAGTTGAAGGTTCAGCTTAAAAGGGACAACAAACAGAATAAACATTATTGATATCAAAGGTGAGGTACAGAAAAATCCTTCGCATGAAATCATCACACGCAAGCTACTTGGGAGTTACTGTATTGGCAGCCATTGCCGGGCAGATTTGAACGGTTGAGCAGCAACATGGCAACTCAATGCAAGTTGTAGTTCCCTTATGGGTTAAAGTCCCACACTTGTAATTCTTGATTAATTCTTCTGCCACTGTAATTTGTAATTTGTGTAACATGGAGTAACATTTAGATATTGATTATTTTATTGATTCTTCTCAATCGACATTATTGTGTCATTAAGTGATTGAATGGTTCTTTTTTTTTTCTTTTGCTATTCTTGTTTCTGTGGTCAAAAGTAATTTCTCCGTCTTCCCTTTGTTTTTAATGGAGGAAAAATGGACTGACATGTTCCTGGGACTTGAGCATTCTTACTGTCTCTCAGGTTTGTTCATTTTCTAGTATCCTTTGGAATGATGTTGTGAAGTAAAACAAAGTTGAAGTGTATCTTTCTAATACTACATCTATGGGAGGGTTTTTCTGTTTCCATCCTGAAAGCCAGGTGCTTTGTGATCAAATCATTGCTATGGTTATTTGGTAGCTATATTGCTGTTTAATTGACAAGAGCTTTTCATTCTCATCTTTTTCTCTTGTTTGTTCATTTCAGGAAGTTGGGTGTTACGTTTATGGTGCTTTTCGCCTTGTATGAAGTAAAGTATTTACTTGCCCATCTCGTTGCTCTGATGGACACTTTCTTCCATGGAGACTAATGGGAAAATGTAGCTGGTTTTTGGCTTGACATTGTCTGTATAGAAGGTAAATTCTATTTCTCAGCATGGTTACATGATTATTAAGCTGGGCCTTTTAATCCTGTAGGTGCAACTATGAAGAGCACCGGACATGGTTTAATCCCTTAGAGGGTCCAGAGAAAAAAAGTTTTCTTTAGAAAATATTTCTGAAATATGTAATGTTTTTCTGCTGTTTATGTAATTTAGCAGAACCTGCTATAGCTGATTATTTTAATTGCTGGGTTGGCCTCTTCTGTGGAGACTCCATGAGGTGCAGCTCAGCCCCTGAAATATGATAGCTGCATTGCTGCGTTCTACTAAAATAAAACAAAGGTAACTGCTTCGGGCCAGTGGTCTGCTCTCCTGTTATCAAAGATATACTCTGATCTTGTCCCGAGTCTTGGGCTATTTCTTTGTGTTTGCTGCAAATAACTGCTAAGATGACTTGTCCTTTATCGTTTCTCGCAGGGGGGGTTGGTGGGGAGAGAAATAGATTAGAGACAATTGTCTCAGTTTGATAATTGTTAAAAACAATTGGACATGTCAGTACTGTGCTTTCTTTACTAATGCTGAGTGTTGTGCAATCCAATTTGCAGCCTCAGCCTCTTGGTTTAATTTGCAAACCCATTTTCCTGCTTTTTTATATTGATATGTATTGTATGTTATCATGATCTGTTTGAATTTGGTACATTCTGGGTACTTCTGTGCATTGTTTATATAAAACATTCTTGTTGCTCCAAACAGGTATTTAGAATGGCAGATTTGCAGAGGTAGTATGACGCGCACAACATGAGTTTGAATCCTGTTGCACCAAGTTAATGGAGAACGGTAGAGCTAGCGGACCCTTCATCCATTGAGTTCGAAGATAAACCAAGCGAATTCAAACTCTTGGGAAGCATCAAATACTTATATAGGCCCATGGTAGAGTAAAAACCATCTCTTCCCATCTTTTATCGCACATCCTATCCCCCATACTGCTGCCCCCCCCCCCCAACCACCCACACCCAACACACACACACAAGAAAAAATGAAGTTAATGGATGTGAAATGTCATTGTTGCATCAATTTCGTGTCCATAAGTTCAAAGTTAGTATGTTTACACTTGTCTTCTGTGGAGATGCAGATATAGTATTTAGAGTATGTGAGTTTAGAGTTTGCATAAAAGATATTTGACTTGCAGAATATGTAATTCGTGTCAAAATAGTAGGTTTAGCCTGCTTAACTTGGTCTGCCCAAAGCTTCAATTTACATCCGTCCACGCTGTTAATCATATTGGGCAAATGATGTGTCTTTATCTATGGGGAATTGGTTTTCTAGAAGAAAGATTAGCGGAATGATTAGTCTAATTCTGCGGTATGAAGTGTCCCTCACGACTTGAGTTTAGGAGGGTAATCCTTGGTGTAAGGAGTTCCACGTTTTAATCATACAAGTTGGATAAGAGTAGGATTTGCCTCTTTTATTTAGTTAGTGGGCTCATTTTAGGACCAATATCATGAGGCAAGTGGCCCAGGGTTGGTCTCCAAAGACCTTTTCCAGTCTCCTGTTGCCGCCATTTAATTTCCTCCTCCACAACATATCACGTTTTGGACGGTAAATATCATTATCAAAAAGTCAAAATGTGTGAATTTGCACCCTATGACGTGGTAGTAACAAAGATTAGCATAATAAAAACAATCTTTAGTTAGGTCGGTTAGCTTTGCTTTGAGTTTAAGTTTTATGAAAAATGTTTATACAGTCAAGATATTAGACAGTAAATTGCAGAGGATTGATTTAATCTTAATTTGAGGTTTCACCGAGTCTTGGGAATAGTAAAAAATCTTGGTACGGAGCACTTATTTCTTTAATGAGTCCTACGTGGAACGTATTAGGATTAATTGAGCTGGTGGGTATCGAATACTAGATGATTACCAAAGAAAAGATAGCAAAATTGCAGATATCACATGGTGAAACAATTATATTAAACCAAGCGAGTGGATATCGCTTGGCGGAACAATCGAATAAGACTCTAAATATCTGCACATTTTTAGTAGATAAAATTTAAATTTAAGAAGAAAAAAATGTAGCTGTCTCATTCAGAGGGATTCCGTAGAAAAAGGAAAGCTGGGATGTAAATGTAATTTACCAAGTATTAGCACTCTGCGTAATTTGCTGAAAATTCTCTAATTCTTATCTTCCTGATGGGGTAATTAGACTCATGACTGTTGATAGGGTCAATTGAAAATAAAAACACTTTATTGCACTTGACCATTAAGCAGTCAATTCTCTTTATCTCTTTTGTTCTGTTGCTTACAGCGGGAGAAATGGCTTTAGAATAATTGAATAGAATGCCGCATACATTTACTAATAGACATCAGCTTAGGCAACAGGAATAGAAGTTTGAAATTGTTAGGTAAAGCAACTTCCTCTCTCTTTTTTCCTTTATCCTAAAAATCATTTTGAGCTATTGCAAATTGATTGACATTGTTATAATTTTAATACTGTGCACATCATGCAGCAGGAAAATTAATAAGCTTCGGGATATTGTCTCTGGTTTTGGTGGGTGAGAGGTGGCTAACGAGGGATGGGATGGCTGTTCTTTGTGGAAATAGGCGGACTCTTGTCGTTATAGATGAAATAGCTCAGAAATGATAAGACATAGTCCAATATAAAGGGGGAAAATTTTATTCGTAACGAAGAAGAAAATTAGGACAAACATCTAAAATTGCTAATAAAATATTTTATATCCAAGAAGTCAAGATTGATGAAATCAACTGACGTTAAATTAAGATTTGCTAGTTCTTAATAATGTTCAGCGTAAAGTAATAAATACAACGCTTTTGAGTTATTAAGAGCCCGTTTGGATTAGCTGATAAGCTTGAAGTCCTGAAAAGTATTTTTAAGTGCTGAAACTGATTTTTTAAATAAGTATTTACGTGTTTGGATAGACGTGCTGAAACTGATATTAAACAGTTGATGTGTTTGGTAGAAAAGTGCTGATAAGTTGTTCTTTTATTAAAATGACTAAAATATCCTTAGAAACTTTACAAAAGATTATAAATTAAAAAGTTTCTTTGTAAAGAAAAAGATGAACAATGAATATGGAATGAAAAGAAAGTTAGAAAATTATTTTTGGGAAAAATATTTTGTGAATTAGAAAAAATTATTAAGGATAAATTAGTAAAAAGCCTTGGGTCAAACTAAAAGTGCTTATAAGCTAAAAAGCCATAAGTTGGGGGTGACCAACTTGTGACTTATGGTTGATTTTAGCTTATAAGGACTTTGGGAATTCAACAAACGCGTAGATAAGTCAAAAGGTGCTTATAAGCCAGTTTGACCAGCTTATAAGCTTAGCCAAAACACCCTCTAAATCAACTAAGGAGAATTCAAGTCAATTATTCACTTTTTCAACTGATAAGTCTCGTTAATTTTCTAAATTCATATAATACATGTGTTGATCATGGACTATGCATAACCAATTCATATAATCTCAATCTACCTACATAAATCCCAATTAAAATTGATAGTCGTGTGTTTTGTTTCAATCTAATCACCAAATTAAAACTAATTTAAATGCAAAATTATAACCATTGAAAGCATTTTCAAATTTCAATTAGTTTTACTTTTGAATACTTTATTATTTTGTCAAGACCGCTCCATAAGACCAACTCGTCTTGAAAAGAAATCCATAAGTTGGTTTACCTCTTTTTTTGTTTATTGGTCATGACTTTACTAAAGTCATCATTTGCAAGTCGAAGTTTAGGCACTCCAAATTTGAAATATTGATGAAATATGAAAAATTTATTTGAGTATCATTTCAAGTGACATAATAATTCCCACTCAGAAAACTTCAAAATATTTCAATTAAATTTGAGTCCAAAAATATTACTGATTTTTTCCTCTACAAATTTAAGTACCTTTTTTTTCCCTCAAACTTAAACCAAATATTATCCAGACGCTTATTTCTTGTTGGGAGGAGTATGAGGAGAACGGGGGTAGTGGAAAGTGGAAAGGTAGGATGTCAAGTTAATTATATTTTACTTGTATTCGATATTTACATCAAATCAAGTAGTAATTTTGTTTATTTTGTCATAATGTATTATTTTATTAAGTTTTTTTGGGTTTAACTCTGTCTTTATTGATTTTCTCTCGATCACTCTTTTTCTCCCATCTTGTTTGAGGGCATTGTCACATAAACTTTTGTTTATTAATTCTGAACTTCTTTTTCTCAAATAGTTGATATACGTCATGTTCAGAATTTATAAACATAATTTAACGTGACAATGCCCTCAAACAAGTCGGCAACTTTTCTCTTTGCAATTTTTTTAATTGGGAGATTACTCTTTGGGACATTTTCAGTAATTCACACTATAGATCATAGAGACATTCCCCTGCCAGAAAGGAAAAGGACAGAAGAGACATGGAGCAAAAGAACTAGACCTAGAAGTAGGGCTGTGCACGGATCGGATTTAGCACATTTCGAATTCGGATTTATTATTTCGGATTCTAGAAAATGCAATCCGAAACAGTTCCGAATTATATAGGATTGGATCGGATTTTAAAGTTTGGATCGGATCGGATTTCGGATCGGACTATTATACTCAAAGTTGCAAACTAATATGTATATTTTCTTTGTAAAAGAGGCAATACATTAAGAAAAATTCATGTTTATGCAATTATGAGAGTACTATGGTGCCAACAGCTAAATCTAGCAATTATAAAGGTAATAACTTGGAGGAAGATGTAAAGGAAGTACTGACTATCCGAAATTAAAGTGTAGTATTTATACATTGCCTAATAATTTCGGATTTCAGATCGAATCGGATCGGATTAAAATATACCAATCCGAATCCGATCCGAAATCCGAAATTTTAATAAACACAATCCGAAATTCGATCCAATCCAAAATCCGAAATCCGAAATCCGAAATTGAATGGATCGGTTCGGATTTCGGATATCCGATCCGAATGAACAAACCTACCTAATAGGCGTTTGGACATAAAATTGTAATTTTTGCAAAAAAAGTAGTATCTGGAGTAAATTTGAAAAATGATACTTAGAATTTGTATATTGTGTTTGGACATACATTTCACTTGAAAAAATATTGCAATTTTGTGAGTGGAGAAAAGAAAAGTTATTTTGAAAAACTCATTTCTGAATTTTTTCAAAAACTTGCAAATTTCATGGACAAACATATTTTTAAAAAAAAATCGAAAAAAGGAAAAAAAATTCATGAACCAAACGGGCCCTTAGTTAATAACAATAATAATCATAATAGCTATACTAATAACAATAATAAGAGCAGTAATAATAACGATAATAATAATAATTAATTAATAAAATTATTATTTGCATACTTTAGATTTAGTGGATACAAATGCAATCCAGCTTCTTTTCTTGATTTGACAGATAGCAAAATTGGATGAATAAGATAAAATCTGGTATACTGTTTGACAAATTCAAAGTTGATTTAGCTCAAAGAAACGGTGCTTTAATTTGAAACAAAATTTGGAACTATCCCTAAGTAGAATATTTTCAGCTAATTAATGGTTCTTCTATTGATCATCTTATTCAATTTTGTACCATATCATATCTTAATAAAGCAATATGACAAATATGACTACCAATATATCTGTTTCATGTATAAACAAAGGCGAATGGAGCCTTTATCCAATGGCCTCAACTAAACTCAGTTATATATATATATATATATATATATATATATATATATATATATATATATATATATATATATNCAAACTTATAAGGTACATCATAGAATCTCAGCGAATGTAAAAATACTAGGTGATTTTTTCTTATGGGTCCAAAATTTAATGGACAAAATTATTCAATACTTGTATTGGTAAGATATAACAGGCTTAATCGAGGTGCGCGCAAGCTGACACGAATACCATACTAATCAAACAAAAGGTACATCATATACAACAAAAAGTAAAAACAAAGAAAAGATGAAAGTAAGTTTCAAACAGTAAACCCCAAAACAAAGTAAATCTTAAGCAGTAAGCACAATAGTAGCATTGAAGGTTTGAAAAGTTGTATTTGAAAGAAAAAGGGGAAAGTGGGGGTGAGGAAAAATTGGGACACAGTATAAAGTTTCTAGAAGGAGTGTGCTGACTCTTTGGAATATTGATGCCTACAACTATATATTATAATTGGGCTTCTAGAAGTTTGGTGTCATTACATGCCCATGCTTTTTATTTGTTGTGTCCTATCAATTTCATTTCATTTTATATCACCACTCACTTTTCTCATGTTCCTTGTCTTCCTCCTCTAACAAAACCAAGAAACAAAAATCTTTTTGTGTCGAAGAATTAATGTTTGTTTTTGGTACCTAAGAGGAAATGGTAGAAATGATGATGAATCAAGAAAGCAATAGTTGTAACACTCTTATTGATGTGTCTTCCTTTATGCTCTATGAGTCTAGTGGGGATTCTGAATTTGATTCTAATTTTTGTAGTACAAGTCATGATCCAATGGATTCATTCACTCTAGATCCACCTTATCAACGTTTTCTTGAAGATGATGATGCACAATCATGCAGCTATGAATGTGATGTTCATCTTGAACATGAAGATATGGACTTGGATTTCCATATTGAAAATGAAGATAATTATAATGATGATGATGATGTGAGATCTTCGAGTTATTCTCGTTCTGATAATTATAAATGTGTTGGTTGGAACAGTGATATGGAAGACGAGGAGGACGAAGACGAAGACGAAGATGAAGATGAAGATGAAGGGGATGTAGTTGAACAAGGTTGGAATTTTGGTGTCAATATATGTAAGAAAGCTAAAACTAAGGTTAGAGTTGATTCAGTTATGGAAGAGTTCAAGTGCCAAAAGGACAAGGATAGGTTATTTTGGGAGACTTGTTTGGCCTCTTAATTATATTTGTTAAAGAGCCTTATCATATAATCCATTTCTGATCACTGGTTTCTTTCTCCTTCCTTCCCCCCCCCCCCTCCCCACCCACCACCCTTCCTCTTTCTTGTCTATTATATGTTGGGTTTTGAGCTTTCAATATTTTTATTACGTCCATACATAGAAAGATTATATCAAGTGTATATAGAAATGAAAGGTAATTTGAATGGAAATGGTTAAATGGTTTCTTTCATTTTTCTTTTCCCCCTCCTTGTTTCTTTCTTCTGCATACGACAATGTAACAATAACAACAATAATTTAGTTCCAAGCTAATTGGGGCCGATTATGTAAATGCTCATTGATCATGTTACTCTATTTAAACTCATTTCAGATCATATTATATAAAATATACTTAATAATAAAAATTAAAGTAATAAAAACTCTTTATACTTTCTATTAACGTATAGATTACTGAAAGATTAAGAGTATTTAATAATAAAAATAAAAATAAAAGTACTTAATTTTTCTTGAGTGTGTATCTCATGAGTACTTTTTATCTTTTTCTTTATCACTTTATCCGTTTTTATTTAAGGTTCTCATGAAATTTGGTGGGGTAGAATAACCTCATGATTTTGCTAGCTACCCACCATTAGACCTTTGTTTAATGATAACAATGATACATAAAATCCCTACAATCTCGTACCAAGGACCATAAAAAGAAGTGGATTTCCAAATTGTTATCTTTTCTTTTTGGTTACCTTTAAAGTAGATTTAGTTATTTAATTATATACATTGATAGTGTCAAGAATTTATATAGTATCAACGTACTTTAACTATATTATGTGCTTCAGTAAATTACCACTATAGTCTTACTATAAACAATTATATTTCGTTGGAGGTTACTTTAACTTTATGGTTTAAAAAAAACTCTACACAGTAACAACTTGTTTGGATGGTTGTTCCTCGTTGTATTGTATGGTGTAATTATCCCAAAATAATGTTTGTTTTGATTGTTTCATTAAAATTGGTTGTATTGTATTGTTAAATCCATTGTTCCGGAAAAATGAAAAGACCCCTTTTTTGAAACAACCGATTTGGTGTAGTGAGATTGTTTTCTATTTTTTCTTTTCAATTATGTCCTAACTTATTACTCCATAATTCTATTTTACCCTTTATCTTTTTTCTATTTTAACTCCAAACTCCAACTTATAACCTACTTTGTTTTTTTCCAGACCAATGTTAAAGGTGTTTTGTTGCCTCCTGTTTTATTTTTTCTCCTAATTTGCTTGTAACTCAATTCTAATTAGTTGTGCTCCTTTGTTTTGCCTTTTTCTGTCTCGCTCCTTTGTTCTGCTTCCTTATTGTGGTTTGCCTTCTTCTGTTTTGTTTTTTAAAATTATTTTTATACATAATTTTGATAAATTTAATATTTAAACAATTGAAGATATTTTAGTAAACTTATCAGTTACAGTACAGTACGATACAGTCAAACCAAACAACAAAATATTATTTAACAATAACAAACAATACAATCTATCCAAACATTGTTTTCATAAAATGATACGGTACAATACGATACAATACAATACAATACATTATAAAACGATAGGAAACAATGATCCAAATCTACAAAAGTTAAACTCATTCATAAATTAACAACTAATTAAGAGTTTTTTTTAACACTCTTAAGAATTGGTAACCCATTAGCAATTCTTTATATCTAAGGAACCAACATGTTTGTCTACAAGATTTAACTTAGTCGAAGTAGATTAACTAGAGGACCAAAATGATTGAATTTGTTTCTTGAAGTTTTTGTACAATAAAAATCCTGTTTGAGTGAGAGAAAAGAATTATCTCCACTCTCTACCCGTTGGTCGAACAACCTCGTATATAGCTTGTACTAGTAATCAAAAGAAACATGTGGAAGTACATAGCTTGGATTTCTTGCAAGTACATAGCTTGTACTATATATATATATATATATATATATAGAAACAAGAGAGAAATTAATTATGGTCCTCAACAACCAAATGTTAATTCAGAATTTGAAGACATTGGATACACCCTTAACTTCTACACATATTTTAAATTTTTATTTTCTTTGAATTTCTTACTTGTATATATAATTGAAATCTGATACATAAATACACGTGCATCCACGGCTATTGCTGGATTTGCTTTGCAAATATCAAGAAGCAAAGAGTATTGGTCACATATTCATGCCGAGGAAATTGCGAAATGTAAAATCATAGCAACAACTTAATGTGGTTGAATCTAAAGCGCACCATGTAGCGTATACAAGATAATACTGTTCCAAAAGAAAAAAAAATCACATATTTCATGATTAAGAACAAATGGAAATGGAGCACAAATAAACTTGCTTCAATAAAATTCCCACTAAAACAATCACCTTTCACTGTTTTAACTGGCTATTAGTTGACCACTTTTCTTAAACAAAGGCTAGCCACTCTCCAAAAACAAGTACTAACAGATCTTATTAAAGAACCAATTAACAAGATTCATGAAAAATGAAAGAACAAACCACAATATTATAGAGAAGTTCCCTTCTATTCTCTTGTTAAGCCAAAAACATTAATTTGATTCTTATCTGAGATTAAGGACTTTGTTCTTTATAAGAATCATCTTCTTTTCATTATCTTCTTTCGACAATTGTTATCTTACATCAATTTTAACTGGTCAATATTAGAGAGCCTTTGCTGTGCTGATAAAACATAGGAAATAACCACAAGTTCAGCCTCAAGCAAATCATTGTGTCTAGACTAAGCCTAACAACAACACTTTACATAAACAGCCATTCACCGACGATAGAGAGATTTAGAACTTCCAAAAGATGCATCGCCGGAATGGATTCAGTTACACCAGTTCGGACGAGACATCATTTGTGCTTCCACATGCTCCAGTTAATCTGCTTGCGCCTTAAGCCCCACAGAAACAGTAAGTTGCTCTTGTGCTAGTGCTCAAGCCTGAAATCCCATTATTTACTATCATGTAAACACGAAACATCTCCATCAAAAGAGGAAGAACTCGTGGGGTTATCGTGTTCACTACACAAAATTCCTTCTAGCTGTTTCCGGAAGTCATTTTTTGCATGATCGTTCTCATCAAATTGCCGTAGGAAGCTTCCTTCCATTTCACTCAGTGATTCGATTTCATCTCTGTCTTCACTGCTGTAGCTGTAACGAGGTTGCTCATCATTATCATCTGATGCGAGCCCTGTTGATTCACATCTAGTCTCCATCGCTCGTTGAGTGTCAAATTCCTTCTCAGTTGGTCTATCAGAAAAACTAGATGACATGGGTGAAAATCCTCCATCTTCTGTCTCTCCACGTTCTCGTAGTGTTTTCACAATCAGGGCCTTCAGTAAGTTCATCACTTGAACAGCGTGCATGAGCGCTGTCAATGGATCAGACATCTGATACCAGAACAACAAATAAAACAAAATACTTCAACCAGTTAGGGAATTTGATTCTGTATGCCTTGACAGAAGTATATTCCACTTACCTGTGTCATATTTGGGGCGAAAACCATTGCAATATTTCTGGCATTCATTTTGTTGGATTCCTCTTGCTCAACAACATCAGCCATCAGCTCAATTGCCCAGTTGAGCAGCGCGGTCTCAGTTGGTTTAAGCTGTTCCACAAGCTCGATAAATTCCTCCTCCATGTTGCACTGCAAAACCTGTTCTGGTGAAAGCCCGTCAAGCACACCTTCTGGAAGCTCTCGGAACCAAGCTTTGATGAGACCGGCCAAACAGTGGACATTTATGTCATCGGGCACAATCCCTCTGTTGAGCTGGTCCCTTACTTCCTCCTCATGGCTATTCTCTGGGTTTATTCGAAAAATTCCTTCAGCCTAAAGGTTCATCCAGCAATACTTAGAAAACTATTTGACAACAAATATAGTTATGGAAGAGACTTCCCATCCATCAGAAACGATAGAAAAATTGAGATACCTTCAGACCACCTTGTGAGTATAAGCGTTCCTGCATTAACAGGAGAATAGTCGGGACACTGTTGCCTCTTTTATCATAAGAACACTGCATCGACTCTGCAGAGATACCAAAAACGGTGACGCTGCAAAAAGAAAATTGCTACAAATTCAGCATGATACAATAAAATAGCTTGAAACTCTGTTCATAAACTCTGGATGCAAATTACAGCCAACCACTTACGTCATAAATGTGACTCCACAGAAATAGAAACAGGTATCAACATATGCTGTGCATTTGTTATGTTTATTAAAAATTAAACAGCATTTTCTGAAGAATAACCTTGATAGAATTTCACAAACTACTGTTAGAAAAGTTTAAATAGCACACACCGACAGAGTTCTAAGAATGGAGTGAAACTGAATAACACAGTAGAGTGACCAACAGTGCAAAGCATTCAGCATCTGCATGATAAGGTGGAATCACTGTCAATTGAAACAATAGCAATTACCATTCAAGAGGACCCTCAAACTTGCAACATCTGGAATGGCTTCTTCATCAGAACCAACTATAACCAGTTTACTCCAATGTAGCAGTTTTTTTTTTCTTCTAATTTTTGTTTTCCCTTTCTCTTTTTAAGGGATTGGCTAAAGAAAGACAAGAAAAGATGCATACAAGCATCCTCCTTGTGCTGTCTTTATTACGTATCTACGCCTTGTAATTACTTGGATAGCTAAATTCCAATCACTGCTGTCCTAAGAATTTCTTCTTAAACTGAAGCTACTTCAAGTCCCCAACCATGGCTGTCTTAGTTTCGAAGTGATGAGTTTAGCCCTTAGCAAAAGATATGACAATAAAGCACAGAAAATTGAAAGTTCTGTAACCAGTGAGATAAAGTAGGGGCAAAACTTAGTAGTCTAGATATGTTCGAAAAATTATCTCAGGATCTTCCTTGTTACCATTTTAACGGGAGACAGCACAAGGATCAGATACAGTACAAGAACATTCCCATCTTTGCATACTGTCGATGAAAGTTGCTGGAAAATAGGAGGTTATTTTGACGTTTTGGTCAAGGAACTACTATTCTCATTCAAAAGTACTGCTCGAGTTGCAAAGTTGGCAGATAGTAAAAGCATCTCTCTTGACGTACTACAGTTCTACAAAAGCCACTTCCAGTTGCGTGACAAATTAATAGGCACCCATAAACCAATAAACCCTTTTCGGTTGGTGAGGCATGACATAAAAGTGGTCTATATGATCATGTACCCAAAAGGATAGGGGACCATTGAAACAGGCACATCACAACTATTGAATTACAAAGTAGGATAGAGATATAGTAGTGGTGTTGACTTGTTGAGCATGGTTAGACATACAGATGCTATCCTCATCCTCAATTAGCTTTAAATTCTAAATAGGAGTAAAACACAGTAAATCTGTGCATTTACTGCACATATATCACTATTTCTTCAGAGTTTGCATGAACCACTCCTAAACTTGTTACATTGCAGAAAATGTTGGTAGATGATTGTACTAAGACATATTTACTAGTATTTGAATAAGAAACTGAGCTTTGCAAAGAATGTCTGTCCAAAGCTCAGATTAAGTAGAAGGGTTGTAAAGATAGTCTAACTATCATATAGTCAGCCCTAACTAATTCGGGAGTTGAATTGCAGCCTCGAATACTGATAATTGAGCTGAAAACTAGACAAGCTTATTGTGAGTAACTAACTATCACCTCCCTAAAAGTAAAAGTCTCAGCTTTATCAGTTAATCAGATGCAAACAACATATAAAACAAAAAAAGAATCAAACTTTTGGACAAACAGAACAAGAAACTGAAATTCAAGAGCGCCCAAAACACACACACACACAAACCTGGCACTGGGTGCTTTACAAGGGATTTCAGCTTCAAACTCAAGAGGAAGACCCAAGAACCCATGAAACCGATCGAAAGTGACATGAGTTAGATGTTGGACGTTTGTGGGCCATCCGATTTCCATATGATGAAGATGAACGGTGGATTTCATGACCTCCTCCTCCTTTTGATCATCACGACAAGACATCATAGATTTCCTCAAAGCTGCTAAGATAAAATCCAACAAAGACAACTGCTGCTGCTTTTGCTCTTCCTTTGACCTCTTCCCATTTCCACCACCCCCGCAACCCACCCCCCTACTCACCATAACCAACCCCGTCATCTCTCTTCTTGTTTTCTTTCGCCAAAAACACACACTGGCACACGCACAGAATCCTTTTTCTATCTCAGTTTCTTTAGGCTGTGTTTGAGGTTGTTTAATTGGTTGCATTGAAGATAGTTTTTTGAATTTCGAGGGGTTCAAACGGCAACTGGTTTCAAATTTTTGTACTCTAGACTGACCAGAAAGCCCTTGCCAATAAGATAGAATTTCAGTTATGCCCACTCCCTTGTACAAAAATACAGAACATTTCTACAGGTGGGTGTAGTTTACCAATCATCACTATTAATAAGTCTATGCATATCCAACTAAAACCCAACTGCTCCTTAGGTATATTCTTTATTTATTTAAATCATTATGTCTACTCATCAATTAATGGTTTTAATTACATAAGTTTTTAATATATGCACACTTTAGCTTCTGCTCACTCTTAATAGTTCAATAATCAAACTACTTACTACACAATCCAATTGTTGGGGCTTTCCTCTTTCACAATTACTCTGCAAGTGTGTCTGTCTTATTTATCTTCACTAACTTCTACTAGCTCAATTTAAATTTATCATGTGATCTTATTTATATATACCCTTTATTGATGATATGCAGTCAATGTTTTATTTAACTACAATATGAGTCAGCTTCATCATTGTCAAGTCATTTTCTTTGCTTACTGAGTGGGAAATTTTAGATATATGTACTCGTAGTAGCTTTAAAAATCAACTTATTTTGACAAGTATTTTTCCTCAAAAATACTTTTGATGAAAAATATTTTGTGTTGGACTAATTAATTTGAAAATTTTTTTTGAACAGTAATAAGTGTTTGGCCAAGCTTTTAAAAACTACTTCTAAGTATATTTTTCTCAAAAAATACTTTTAAAAAAAGTGTTTTTAAGGATGAACTATTTTTTTCTTATTCTCCAAAATACTTTTGTTTCTTCTCAAAGCATTTTTTTTCTTCCAAAAACTTTGTCAAACACTTCATTAGTAGAAGTAACATTGACGGAAATTAAAAGATTTGACTCTCTCTTCCTTCTTTTCAAAATAGAGGAGTAAATTCCTAATTTTAATAAGTGTTCAATTTACTTTTTCATTTTGATTCAAAATAAGTGTCCAGTTATGTAATCAAGAAAGAATTCAATTTGTTTTTGCAAAATAACCTCTATGTACATATTCCTAAAAAGTTTTCTTACTCCTCACATTAAATATATAATTAGGGGTAGTTTAGTCACAGTAGGTATTTTTATATAGAATTTAGTATTTCCTTAATGGGCGTGCTAAAAGTAAATTGGTGTAAACCGAAGGGAGTAAGTACTACAAAAGTGGAGGATTTTTCTCTTGAAAAGTATAACAAAAGTAAAGTGAGGCATCGAGACTTGTGTAGTTACAAGAGCGGGGCTGCTTCTTTGACTTCCCTTTTTCCCATTGGCTGGTGTTAGGCTGTTAAGTGTGCTTGTCTCAAGTTATGTACTCTTTAAGATTCCATTCACTACTTCAAATATTATGCATACTAAATAAAACTTCCCTTGTATGGGCTTGCTCAGATAAGGGAGAAGAATTGCAGGTAGGTTGATAGCCAGCGCAAAGCTTGTCAATAATAATTAATTCTCATAAGATAATTGAGCGTAAAGAAAGAGGTAATGATTCATATAACTAACACCGACTTAATTGGGACTAAGATGTAATTATTGTTGTAATATGCATACTCCCTCCGGTTCAAAATAAGTGATTTTTTAGATGTTTTTACACAGATTAAGAAATCCACCTTTTAGCATTAATTAGCAATAAAATTGACCATGTTAACCTTTACTATCTCACATAAACACTTCTAACACATATACACTATTTACTCCAAGGACAATGTAGGAAAAAAATAATTAATTCATTCTTGAAATCTGAAAAAATTACTTATTTTGGACCACAGAAAAAAATACCAAAAAATCACTTATTTTGGATCGGAGGGAATACTAAATAAAAAAATGGGTAGAAGTTTCATCTTTGGAAGCAGGCAGGTGAGAAGGTTCAAAAGTCAAATGGTTATGTTTTTATATAATTAATGGAGTGAAGAAGGTCAACTAAACAGCACCAAATTCTTGGAAACCAATGATACATCTACTCTACTAACAATTGATGCAAATGTATCCGTTACTTTGGAGTCCACATGTATAGATAAGGTATAAATATTTTTGGAAATATGTATTTAATATTAAATTTGTACCTATTAGACAGTTACCGTAAACTTTGAGTGCATTTTGATCAACTTTACCCTTGATCAAAACAAGCTCGTAAAATTGGACTTTTGAGATTATTGTTAGAACAAGAGGCACGTAGAGAAACCGTTTCTTGAAGATAGTTGGAGTCTCTTCCACGAGCAAACGGAAATAAATGACAACTCTATCTCCGGGATTCAACTAAGCTACACAACAAGTAGCATTCAAGAATGTTGCTCTTCTATTCTTGAATCTATGATTTTACTATTTGATCAATGTCTCTTATAATATTTTAAGGGAAAAGTAGTTTGTGAATTGCTTGTATTTTTCAAAGAAAATCAGCCCTCTTTATATTTTATAGGCTAAAGACTCTTGAAAGATAAGTTTATCATTTAATAAGTTCATGAATATATTCATAAATTTGGAAGATCAAATATTTTTGCCAAAACCAAAACGTATGTAGTAAATCAAAAATGAATTCACATTCATTCACTTTGAAAAATAAGAGTCTTTTGTAAACACATCAATTTACAAATACATTGTTTCAAATTTATTGAAACACTTATTCCAACAATCCCCCACTTGTTTCAAGAAATTTTGAAAATTTTGAGACATTAATCTAGTAACATGCATCAATAATGGTGTCTTTCGGAATTGAACAATTAGCTAGTGAAGGCATTCCAAATCATTGACTACTTGGTGAACGAATCTTGAACTAAGTAGTTCATTGAACGACGTAGAAAATACCTTAGAGCGGTGAATTCATCAAGAGTTACTTTGCATACTGATCGCTGCTTACTCCGCACCAATAAAAGGTAGCAAGAGAGGGTCGCGGTAGCTTTTACCTGATATGAGGGTCGGGATCGAATTCCTCAGAGAGCTAGAAATTGGAGTTGGGTATCTATCTAGACTAGAGTCGTGTAGTTGTTCTAAATATCACTTCCAACATTTTTGGGTTTTTTCAATTATAAACTACTATTATCAAACTACTAATTGAAACTAGATTATGCTACGAAATAATTGCTAAGGTTGTATCTATTGGGGAGAAAGGCACTAGGGTCGTGACATCACCTAGGTGATTAATTGACGGGTAGATGTTACTAAGGTTCGATTGACATAATTGGGGCTTATGCTATAACCGTTGCACAATTTTACCCACTCTCACACCTCTCGGTAGAGAGAGTGATTTTGCCCAATTGACTCTCTCGAGACCAAATGGGTAGGCAAATTAGATCAAGCAACTAGGGTTCAAGTATTACTCTCTCGAGGCTTAACCCGTTAATTGGGACTATCATTTCTCATGAGTCCATCCCAATTCCTTGTTGGGTCAATTTTGGGAGACTTAGACTCTCTTTCTCAAGAAGAGTCAAATCCACAAAGCATAAATCAGTGTTTGCAACCACCAATTCATAGATTAAAACATAAAATCAACCCAAATAGCAAACACCCATAGTCAATCTAACCCTAGATGGCAACACCCATCAATTATCCACACTAGGGTTGAGCCACAACCCTAGCTAATGAGTTTAACTACTCATGCTTGAAGGAGAAAATGAAGAAATAGATGAAGAACAAGACATATTAATTAAAGGCTAAATTAAAATACAAGAATCTATCGTTAATTTGAAGCTAAGATGCCAAAAATGGCTACAATTGAGGTTCTCACGAGCGCAACTCAGTTCTGGAATTAACTGATTACCTAAAAATGGTAAAATGTTCTATTTATACTAGGCTAAAAAAACTGGACAAAAATACCCTTGCGGGGTCAGTGCGGGCCGCACAAAATGGACCGCAGCCGCACTAGGATCTTGGACTTCAAAATCTGGGCTCTCTGAACTTGGGCTCTGCGGACCGCGTAGAATGGACCGTGGCCGCGAAGGTCTCTAATGCGGTCCGCACAAGTATGAATGCGGACCGCGCAGCTTGAATAATGGCAAATGTTAGCTCTCTGAATCTCTCTTCCGCGGACCGCACAAACTGGTAGTGCGGCCGCCGAGCCTTCACCGCGGACCGCGCTATGTGTACCGCGGCCGCGTTGCCTGAAGCCTGGTTTTGCCATCTCTCTGAATCTACCTAGTGCGGACCGCACAAAGTCGAATGCGGCCGCACTAGGCCTTTTTGCCCTCAGTTTGCCTTGTCTTTTGTGCTTGAGCAAGTTTCACTCCTTTTGAGCCGAACTTTGCTATTTCGTCACTTTGTCGATCAAACCTGCAAACAAGCACACTTATGAGCCTTTTGGGACTATTTTTGTAACAATTTATAACCAAAGCGTAAGCAAGAAGGAGCATAAAACACTACAAAATCCCTAGTTATCACCTCCAGCACCATTCCCAAGAGATTGGCCAAGTATCAGAAAGATGAGCAATACAAGAAATTCTTGGAGATGTTGAAGTAAATTCAAGTAAACATTCCATTGATTCATGCTTTAAATGAGATGCCTGGTTATGTGAAAATGATGAAGGACTTGATGTCCTGCAAGTTCGACTTCCAAGACTTGGCCACGGTTACACAGACTCAGACCTGCAGTGTTGTTGTGACGAGACCCATAGCTAAAAAGCTGTCTGACCTAGGAAGTTTCACAATCCCGTGCACAATAGGCAACTATGCATTTGCTAAGGCACTGTGTGATCTGGGGGCAAGCATAAACTTTATGCCCCTAGCTACCTACAAAAGGCTAGGCATTGGGAGAGCTAGACCCACGTCCATGTTACTAGAGTTGGCTGACCGGACAGTGAAGAGGCCCTCTGGTATTCTTGATGATGTATTAGTACAGGTTGGGAAGTTTGTGTTCCCGGTAGATTTTGTCATTCTTGGCTGTCGGGTTGACGAGGAAATTCCCATAATTTTGGGAAGACCAGTCTTGGCCACTGGGAGAGCTTTAATTGATTGTGAAATTGGAGAGCTCAAAATGAGATCAAATGATGAATAGATAACATTCAACGTGCAGAAATCTATGCGGCGACCAAGTGAATTTGCTAATTGCTCTCTAATAGATGTCGTGGATGTTGTTTTGGAGGAGGAAGATGAGGCATTGACCACTAAAGACCCTCTAGCAGCTTGTCT